AGACAGATGTCAGCATTCTCTTGGATCCTGAAGAGTACTGACTTGCGACTCCTAACTTTCAGTCCCCCAAGGCAGAAGAGAAGGGGGTCAAGAAAGAGGACAGGAGGTCAGGATAGAGGTAAGGGAAGAAAAATGGAAGCAGAGGAGGAGTGCCAGTGAGGAGGAAAGCTAAAGGGTCAAGTGTCTGCGCTTGTGCCACTGCTTGCTCACCCTGAATGTTCATTCATTTAACAGACCAGACCGCAGGACAGGCCACTATTAGGAAAGATGAGGTCACATCTGACTTCAAATCTCAAGCCGTGGCTCCACCACTTTCTAACTATATTATTGTAGGCAAGCTACTCAAGCTCCTCCAGCATCACCTCTAAAGTGGGGATACAAATCCCACCATGTCTCAGGAGGCACATGTGGGACAAGAACTTTCCAACTTTAAAATGATTTATAGGGCTGGCAAGATAGCTCATCTGGTTAGAGCACTGGGCTGATAACACCAAGGTCAAGGGTTTGGATCACCTTACCGGTTGGCTGCTAGAAAAAAAAAGTTTATTAAAATTAGTTATTACCAACTCCCTATAGTACAAAGGCAGAAAAAGGCCAACTAATTGTGAGAGGCAAGAGGAGAGGAACAGCATCAGAGAGGAGAGGTTTCTATCCCCACCCCCCAGAGCCCTCCCTCTTTCTGCCAAGCTGTGTCCGCCTCTGCTTGGACTCTATAATTTCTGGATGTCCAAAACGGCTGCATAACCACCCAGAGAATTGGTGCCTTCCTTATCTCTCCGAAAGGCAGAGCTCCTTCTGAAGCCTGTTTCAGTGTCAGAGCTGGGAGAGCATGTCCAGACAAGGAAAGAAGGTCCCTTCAGAAGGCTGGTCAGCCTCCTCCCAGGACTCCTGAAGAGCTCCACAAACCACAGTCCACTCCTGAAGAGGTAAGTCCGGTCAGTGACCAATGGCAGATGAGCAGTCAGGCCTCTCTGGCCTTGCCCCTCAGAGGCACCGGCTGACCAGATCAGAAAAACAAGGTTGGCTGAAGAAGTCTCCAATGAACCCATACCGATATAGAGCTTGTGATCCAGCTATTGACCCTAATAAGGAAGTTTTCTGTTCTTGTTGTCCAGTAAAAAGTGAAATAAGTGTATTCCAGATCTAGCTCAAAAGACTGTAGGAATCAGACACTAGCAATTGTCTAGAAGTAGTCAAAAAGATCTAAAAGCAAAAAAAACTTTAGCACTCGTGAGTAGCACCCAAGGGTGATAAAGGAGGCCCAGAACATTGAAGAGCTGCAGAAATTCCCAAGGATTGCATGGCTTACCCTCCTTTCCTTCACTGTAGATAGCAAGGGTCAGTCATAGCCTCAGCGTCAGGCTGCTCCTCATTAAGGTACAGTCACTGACCTGTACTTTGGCCATTTAACAAAGAACCTTCTAGCATGGTCTGAGACAGCAGCCATTTCACACACTTAAGACCAAAGCAACAGACAAACATCATATGTCAATACTGTTGGGGGAAGAAGCACTTTCTAGCATGTACGGGAATTCCTTGGGCTACAAGTATTAGCACCTTAAGAATCCAGAGCTGCCATTATGATCTTGATTTATTCCTATGTAATAAGTCCAGGCCTAGAATGGACTGGAGAGACCCTGGTGTGCCATGGACCTGTTGCTCAGGGTACTCTATGTGTGTGTGTTTGGGGGTGAAAAAGAGATAGCCCTTCAATTCCAGACTCCTCATTTTTGGTCTTATTCTCCTCCCTACAGACCAACAGACAGCAGTCCCAGGAGGAGCAGTCCCTCTTGAGACAGCTTGGAAACCACTCACGTGCTCGGGGAGGACAGGGCTGAGCCTGGAGCAAGGGGGGGAGGAGGAAGGGAGAAGATAATGAATGGGCAGATCCACCCTGATCTGTGATCTGTAGCTAGGATTGAGCAAACCTCAGCTAAATTCTTCAGAGGCAGGAAGAGCAATACACTCAGCTACGTAACTAGAGAACAAGGCTGAGGGCAGAGGGGGCAAGACAAGAAGACAGCTCATTGCTAATAAATGACCCAGACTTCAAACTCTGCTGAGGTCCCGAAAGGCTCTCTGGCTTGAGGAAAGAGAGGAAGTAAGCAGTTGTGGGAACGCAAACATACTTCTGTACTTGGGAACCGGTCTCACCCAGATCCCCCACCCAAAGGAAATCGAATATAATTCCTCTAGGGCTGAAGGGAACAAATGTTTGGTAGGATGGAGGAAAGGAAAACGGCGACAGACAACACTCCCCGCCACCTCTAAAAGAGAAGGGGGACAGGTTCCTTCACACCTGGCAAAGATCCTTCAATTCTGGGAGCAGGAAGAGAAGAACCTAGGGTCCCTCTCTCCCACAAATGGACTGGACAGGCCAGAGGAGAGCCACAGGGATTTTCCCAAGGCTCACGAAGGGCAGGAAAACGAAAGAAAGAAGGGCTCCCCCTTTCGCCAAACGCCTGGGGAGCCCCTTAAGAGGGGTCTACGGGTCGGGGGAGGGGCCAGTACCCCCCTAATCTGGGGTTGGGCGGGAGGAAGGGCTGCCCCAGAGAGGCTTCAATGCGGACGAGACACAGTCCCGCGACAGGCACACTCACGGCGGTTCCGGGGCGGCGGCGTTACTTGGGGCCGGGGCTCAGACTGGTTCCACTCCTCTCCCCCCGGCGGTGTCCCAGGCTCCGGCCTCCACTTCCGCCTTTCAGCC